AAAGCTTTTAAAAAAAAATCTTACTAACCCCAATTTTTGGAATGGCAGTGTGAATAACCAGGTTTTCTTCTCCTTAAACTAGATTGCTATAATGAAATCGGCAAAAACTATCGGGGTGTTGTCCGCAAGACACGTAAAGGTATTCTCTGCCAGAAATGGAGTGTCAAGTAAGAATAACATTCCATTTAAAGTTGGTCTAAAGTATAAATTCCAGGTCATTTATGCACATCTATTTACAGGATAAACCCCAAAACACACCCAGAGGCCAACCTGACCGACAACTACTGCAGGAACCCTGACGGAGACCATCACGGGCCCTGGTGCTACACCACTGACCCCAAGACTGAGTTTGACTACTGTGCCATCAAGCAGTGTGGTGAAGCATCAATGTCTATAGACGCTCTTTTCAATCTCATTCAGTCATGTCTGCTCTTTTATCTTCCAATAGCCAGGCTCTCACAGAATCTGTGCACTTTTTTGCAACTTTTTCACATTTTTTGTGTGAAAATGAGCAGAAGATTAAATATGGTGAAACATGGTGAATGTAGCAGAAAAGTCCAAATTAGCTATTTTTTCATCTTTATAAGAATTTATGTCAATAATAGTTTATTAATAATTATAGCAATAATAAATAGTTAATAATACTAATTCAATAATTTCCAATATTTTTTTATAATTTATTAATGGTAATATATTTAAAATAAATATTGTTAGTTAATTAATAAATTTTTTTGTTCTTCTTTATGTTGTTATAGCTGGAGAGAAAGTGCCCATTATTGGGCCAACAGGTATGTCAAAAACAATATACAGTGTCCAGTACAGACTTTGATGTGTATGATTGTGCTTCTAACTTGCCCTCCACTGTGTGTAAAAAGCGGATGTTGTGTTTAACGAGTGTGGGAAGCGGGATGACCGGACTGTGAAGAGCAGGTTAAGAATAGTGGGCGGCACACCTGGAAACTCTCCCTGGACCGTCAGCCTTCGAGACCGGTTAGTCTTACTATAAACTGTCCCAAATTATGTCACTTTATGGAAGTGAAATTGGTTTGCAAACAGTGTTTCTAGTTGACAAATATATGTGTGGCCACTACATGTCTTCTCAGGAAAGGAAATCACTTCTGTGGAGGTTCTCTGGTCAATTCCAAATGGGTGATCAGCACTAAACAATGCTTCTCATCTTGGTAACTCAAGTGTTCTTCAGTAATTAATGTTCAGAGTTGGACAGCAGGGGCGTTTTATTAAATATGCACGTGCTTGTTGGTGATTTTATGCAGTTATGTGGACCTCACGGGATATAGTACAATGATGGGCACCTTGTTCCGTGATCCAAAGGAAGGCGAACCAGACAGACAAACTATTTCTCTCACCAAGATCGTCTGTGGTCCTTCTGAATCCCACCTGGTCATGCTTCAGCTAGAAACGTACTTCATACTAACCACAAACACAGCAATTTACAACATGCTTTGGTTTTACACTCTTAAAAACAAAGAAAGGGGGTTTCAGTGCCATAGAATAGCTATTTTTGGTTCCTCAAAGAACCTTTTAGTCAACCGTTCTTAAAGGGATAGTTCACCCAAAAATGAAAATTACCCCAAGATTTACTCACCCTCAAGTGAGTAACCAATCCTAGGTGTGTATGACTTTCTTCTTTCAGATGAATACAATTGGAGTTCTATTAAAAATGTCCTGGCTCTTTCAAGCTTTATAATGTCAGTGAATGGCGGTTTATATTTTGAAGCAAAATAAAGCAAAATCCATCCATCATAAAAAGTGCTCCACACAGCTCCGGGGGAATAAAGGCCTTCTGAAGCGAATTGATGCGTTTTTGTAAAAAATAAAATCCATATTTAAAACTTTATAAACTGTAATTGTTATACTCATGTTCACAAGAGAGTGGCGTCCAGCGGATTACGTAGGCGTAGCGTAAGCTCCAGTGAAAATATGCTAGTCTCACGAGAACCAAGTTTTGTTTACAGCAAAGGAAAACCAGTCTCCTCTTGGCTTATATCAAAATCTTCTTTCTTTACAAATCTCTTGTTTTGTACTTCTAATTCCTGACCGGTGCTTCCGCGCTCGTCACTTCTCACCAGAGCTTACGCTAAGCCTACGTCCTACGTCATCCCCTGGAACACCACTCTCTTGTGAACGCGAGCACAACAATTAGCGGAAGCTAGAGATTATGGTTTATAAAGTATTAAATATGAATATTTTTCTAACATAAAAACATTGCTTCACTTCAGAAGACCTTTATTGACCCCCCCCCCCCTCCGCCCACCCCCCCCACCACCCGCCGCGCCGGCGATTGT